TCTATAATACGAACTTTATTCTTCTTATTTCACATAAAGTGATAAAGGACTGGTATTTTAATTTCCCATAATCATATGACTAGGCTTTAAGACGCCATTAAACTTCACTTAACCTTGCATCTCATAGAGAATTATCACCTAGAATGGGCAGCAGTATAAATCTCGCCCCAATAGGACTGGAACCGATGTAGTTCAGTGTTTATTTTTCGCATTTTACCACGGGTGAAAATAGTATCACAGGACACACGTTACTTTAAAGGCAGTCAATGGTAACTTCTAAGCCTACTCTAGCTGAATATAAGTAGTGTAGTCGATTGTTAGAACGAATACAAGTTTTCCTGGTCGGTCTTTACATTCATGCCTACACCCCTGGCTGTGTGGTATAGCGGTAGTGTCGGAGATCGATTCCCGTTATGAGTGCCGAGGAGACTCAGGCGAGGTCGAAATCACAGTTCCGTCTGGATGAGATGACCTTATGGGAGGCAATGCTCAGGGAACTTCAGTGGCATCGTGTGGCCTACTCGGATCATCGTAGCAAAATTCATCATCTTATCTCACCTGGGATATTTTTCATGACCTGCTGATAGTTTTAAAAACCTAATTTATCTTAATATGCCTTCCCTAAATCACTTTGATCTGGAGAACCCATTTAACCAACCTGACTCCTATGGTGACTACTTAGAACATGTTTGATGTTGGAGTACCTTTCATTTCGTTTGAAGAGGCGAGTGGAAGGGATTTGTAAGTTTTTTTCATCGGAGGCTGTAAGGGGGTTGCCTTGAAGCTGTGGTTGTAGATTTGTACGAACAATCCTCGGCGCACCGCTTTGCGACCCCGATGAATCCTTGCTGAGCCTTCGTCCGTCATGTGATGGGCATCATCAGAGCAGGACACCATGCTTAACGATAATTCACCAAAAACATGAAGGCAAAAAAGGTGGCCGGCTCTAAATCTACCTACTTCTTGTATTCTTATTTGGTCCACTTATGCATCTCATGTTTTGGTTGGATGCCCTATGCTTTGCCTCTATATTTGCTCATAAGTTATGCACACGCACACGCAAGCGAAGTATATTAAAGTTAACTAGCCAAACCATTCTATGTCTTTTTATGCCTATTCATTTTCGTTTTTTAGTTATGAGTTATGAGTGGCTGAGGATGCCATGTGAAGTGGCTACAGATGAAGCGTGAAATTGGTACAATTGAAACCTAACAGCTGCATCCTCCCCTAAAACACTTATGCCTTTGATCCTGCAATTGTACCGTATGTGATTGCGTCCCATTGCACACGTATTGTGTGAGTGCATTGCTCTTGGAATGAGTGTGATGTGAGAGTCAATACCAAATCCCAGCCTAATCAAGCCTCTTGTTCGGTGGTACTTCTCGTTCCTCCCCCTTTCCTTTCCTAAACCTATCCTAGCTTCATACACTCATTCCTTCCATTCATGGTGTTATTTGTTTTGTTGCTTTCTTTCGCCTCCCTAATCTTTCGCTTACTGGTATAGTTTCCATATCCAGGTATACGTTTGGCATTATACCAGTCTATCTGGTGTCCTACACAACCATGTGTTCGGCCAATTCCGATTTTTGGACCCACATACCCTTGCAGGCTGTTTTGTGTTCGGATAACCTCTTATGTATGAGCCTACAGGTCTCTCCAACATAGGCACTGCCACATGAACACAAAATATTGTAACAGTCCGATCTGGAGAGCGGGTCAGAGTATTCTCGAAAAAAGGCAATATCGAGTGAGAAAGATTAGCACACAATTCAAAGAACATCAGAGGCTATGCAGGAAAATGGATACTGAAAGATCAGAACTAGCGGAACACATCGCACAGGCTGGACACGAGATCAATTGGAAGGCAACATAAAGAAGAGCTCCATACGGTGACAACACAAGGAGGCGGAAGATTAGGTTGGCCATTGACATCCTTGGGGAGAAAAATTTAATGAACAGGAGATTGGAGGAAGGTAGAGTTAGCGATAACGTTGCCTACTGCATAAGCAAAATCGGAGAAAACAATAGAGCAAGACCAACGAAAAGGAGACGCCTGGATTAAGGATCTGCCGCTAACCGGAGGAAAGGGATTGCGATGACAAAAGTGGGTGGGAGGGGTATTCGGCAATTAAGCGAAGACTTTTTCAGTGGGTGATGGCCATTTTGAATAAACCAGTACAACTTTGGGGGCCTGGCAGTCAGGGGGTTGGGCAGATGGATAGGCAAACCGTCATAGAAATTAGGCGTTGTGGCCAAAATGCACTAGAAATCCACTTGAGATGCCGCATGGGACCAAAGATAGGAGTCCACAGTTTGCTCATATAACATGGCTTCAGTCAAGGAGAGGATTCGTGAAGGGAAGGCCTGCTATCTGCAAGCATGGGAATCAGAGCTTAAGCGCTCCGCTCAGTGAAGCGGCAGGGTATGTGCTTCTATGGCCTTGAGAAATAGCGCCTGGAGGGAAATGCACACAGGGACTGGACCCGAGTGAAATCGGTCAACCAGAAAGATAAGGAACGGATCTACGAGACAATGAGGTGATCCGGATTGGAGGCCCGAGTCGGATATGCCGATAGAAAGAGAGGGGTCGGGTTGAATAGCAAATGTGATGAGACCACACTAGATTTGTGACAAAAGGGCACACATTCTGACGAGTGGAACGTAACCAAATGAGAAGTTGTGATAGGACGGCAGTGGGATAAGAGTGTAAAGAGTAGATAGATAGACAATGACTAAAAGAAGAGTGATAGTGTAATCGTTTTCGGCAGAACGGTTGTCGAGGAATTGACTTCACTTGTCTCTTTGACGAGTTCATAGCTTGGTGCGGAGAATGACAAAGCTCACTGATGATGTCGACTACGATCCTGGCGAAACGTTTGAGAATGTTTTAAGTCCACTGTCAGATGCTGGGAATCATGACAACTACTATGGCAGACGAATTCGGACTAGGTGCGTTC